TTGCCTGGAGCTTCGTAACCCGATTACGCGCTTTATGACCAGACTACAACAACAACCTTCGCAAGGGCAAGACGAGGACTATAACCCACTTAAAGACGAGATTACTAGCGAGGAGTGGGAGGGCGTACAACAGCTTGTCGACTTTCTGCAAGCGCCTGTTGAGATGACGAAGCGCTTAGAGGGTAACAACAGCGCGTCCGGCTTTGGGTCGTTGTGGCAAACCTTAACAAACTTGCAAGCTTTGTGGACTCTCTACAGCTCCACCAAAGCTGGGTTCGAAAACGATAACAACAACAGCGACTACTTTGTAGCTGCTGTAAAACACGGCCTCGAGAAGCTTATTTCGTACTTTGAAAAGCTAATTATACAACCCCAAATTAGCTATTACGTCGTCGCAACTGCCCTCCATCCCGCCCTACGCCTTGCCTGGTTTCAAACCCACTGGAAGCAGTACGCTGATTGGGTAAAGCGCGCAAAGGAGTCTATAATCAAGATCTTTAAGCTCTATATGGCGGCAGAGGTAGACGACGACGATACAGCGTTGCCGCTGCCGCGTCGCAAGGTACCTGGCGGCAACACTGACCTCTACAGCCAAACGATGGCTGTTGATCTCATGTTTCTCACCGGCTCAAAGTCTCACAAGCGTCAAAAGCGTGCAAGCCAGCTAGAGGAGTACTTTGACGACCTCCGTGAGGACCTCACGAACGCCAGCGAACAACAACTCGCTCTCCTCCACGATCCTTGGCGCTGGTGGCTTGAAATCGGACGCCAGAAGTACCCAATAGTCTTCAAGATAGCCACCGACTACCTCTCTGTCCCTGCTACCAGCTGTGAGTGTGAGCGTATCTTCTCAACCACCAAACGGACGATTACAAGCGATCGCAACCGCCTCAGCGCGGCCACGATAGAGGCTCTACAACTACAGAAGAACTGGTTACGTCACAGCATCGTCAAAAGCGAGGTTTTGAAGCTACAACAACACGTACAACGCTGGGATAGCAAGCAAGGCAGCAGCTACAAATCCGGCAACAGCGAGGTCGCTGGCAGCAGCAGCAATATACCCAGCAACAGCAGCTACCTGGGCGACAACGCTGGCTGAAATCTCTATCCTCAACACCACGATACAGCTTCTCGAGCGCCTACAGCAGCTTCAATTTACAAAATAAGCTTAGTGGTTGCCTAATTAGGCAATTATACGATCCGTATGTGGTCCGAGCGACCGTACTACGGTTACGGTTCGTACTTAGAGCTTTTTTTGGACCTCCCGTACGTACAACACCAGAAATCGACCCGTACGTGCCCCAAGATAGCTTCAAACGTACCGTATTACGGTACGTTGGGAACGCTGGCTATACACTTCGCCTAATGCTTTCGTAAGCTTTGCTTGTGAGTTGAAGACGATCAAGCCGTAATTGCCGCGATTGTACGAGTAAAGAATATCGGCTTGAGCTGCCAAGTTGGCATCCGCGGACTCGGGTAGAGGGATGCTCTTTGTCGGCTGATGTGCGAGCATACTTCCCACCAAAGTAAGCCGCTCTCTCTGTATTCCCATCGTGTTGACGTAGTGGTCTATCATGTCAAGGCCAATGGCACTGTATGCAACAAACGTCGCTGAGTGGTTGCAGATCAGTTCACCCACAGCCTTCAATGTTGACATGCCACCTTCTGAGCGCGCTGTAAATCCGTCCATTGTGTCCAAGATGCAGTAAAAGTCCTCGCCAGTAACTTCGTTTGGCGATTCAATGACCCGATAGTTGTCAAAGATTCGCAATGCATTATCTTTGTAGTCGTAGAGCTTCTTTGGCGACTGGAAGGCAGAAGTACGCCCAGGTCGTACCAGATATGTTATCTCAGCGCCGAATGAGAGATGATAACCTTGCGAAAGGCCAACAGCGCCGCAGCCAATGATTAGGATCTTAGGTATACCCATTCTGAGATTGAAAGAGTATCGCGATGTATGTGTGTGCTGGAGAACGGAGCGGGCAGTGGGTCAGGCATATGTCTCGAGCCTGTGACTGTGATCGTGGTTTGTCCGCGTCGGAAAGAGCCACTAGAAATCTGTCTCCCTGCATTTCGCACGTAGACGAAGGTGCGTAATATAAAGCCGCCTTGTGTCGATGGACAGATTCGTCCGTCTTTGTATAAACTTGGTGTTATCGGCGACGTCCAGCACGGGAAGCGGCGACTCTTACGGACAAATTCGCACTCGTTCTCGCAGTCGCATTCCCCATCGGCCTATTCCCTTTCCAGTAACGGCGCGGCTTCGAGATCGAATTTCCTGGACAGCGGCTTTCAGCACAGCGACCAATGCATAGGGAACCGTGAAATGTGGGTAATTCTCAAACCGAGCGTGGTGAGCCGTACGCTCATGATTCTGCGGACTGGGGGATACGCCCAGAAGATATGATGGGCCGCATTTTTGCGCGGATGTATCGCTGAAAGGCTGCTCAAGGTTGTGGAAACTTGTCTTGCCGGCTGTATTGACTTGTCGCGTCAGGTTGACGGAGATCGCAGATTGACGCGCTTCTTACGCGCATGACGTCATTTCATTCTCCTGACGCGAGGCGGTCCTCTCGGCTAGCAGCGATACTTCTCACAACACTACCTTAACAACAGCGACACCTTAAATGATCCGCCTCATCCACGAAGCAGACCACGAGCCATTCACGACATAATGTGCTGCGTCTGAACACTCACGAACACGTCATGACATCCACACCTGTAGTATGAATCTATGATGCCTCTGCATCTATCGTCGTAAGAAAGATGCTCCAAACGACGCGTCAAACCTCAATGAACTCGGGACATGATGGGGTCCAGGGTAGGTAACGCTTCCTAAATTAGGGCAAAGAACGATAGGAGAGGGCAGGTAACGACGCATCACTCGTACCTGCTACTGCAACAGGTGGAAACCCATCACATTGTCCGAGCAATGTCGTGACCATGTCACTATAAGCCCGCACTGCTTCTTCCTTATCCGAATTTTTTCGAGATCTACCTACCTACGCTCTGCCGCTATTCATATCATCCCTGTTGCTCACCTTGTCCAGTGAAATGCGATGCCGCCTTTGTCGAGCGATGGGTACTTTGTACGTCACCGATGGAGAGGGTTGGGCGGCACAAACCTGGCCATCATGCTGAGAAGAACAGATGGGGCCACGCGACCTAAGCCATCACTCAAAACTACCAATGATGTTGCGACTTCATGGTAGCATCACACCTAAACTCGTCATTCCAATTCTGCTTGTGGGTGGTTGGGCCACTGCAATTACCTGCATCTCAAAGCTTGTATACGACCGTAAGCCGTTTCTTTGTTCTTTCGATATGTTTTTACCTGGACTAACATTACGCAGTCGGCACCGATCAAGTTTTCATTACCGTGCTGGGCTTCGTTGTGAGTCTAGCACTCAGCGTCCGCAGTTCCACCTCTATGGACCGATACTTCCAAGGCCGACAACTTTGGGGACGTCTTCGACTCGCATCGCATATACTGGCGCGTTTGGTTTGGATACACGTGGAAGAGAGACATGGCTTCGATGCTGAACTGGGAAAGCAAGATCTGCTCGGCAAGGTCAGCTGCTTGAACCTGATCGTGGCTTTTGCTGTCGCATTGAAGCACAAATTGCGTTTCGAGCCAGGAACACACTACGAGGATCTCAAGCACTTAGTTGGCCATCTGGACACGTTCGCGCAAGGAGCAAATATGCCCGCGCCCGACCCTCCGAGCGCTCTCAGGTGGGCTTGCCAGCTCCTCGGCATACCGATGGCAACACCAAACCCACGCAGACACGTCAAGAAATCGGCCGTCCCTCTTGGAGACCTACCCCTCGAAATCCTATCTCACCTCTCCGCCTATATCAAAGTCCTATACGACACGGGTACACTGAGAGATTACAGCATTTATCAAACCCAGACCCTCGACTCACTAACAATCATGGACGAGGCATCGTGCGGCACCGAGAGAATCTTGAACACACCCCTTCCGCTAGCATACTCCATCGCTATAGCTCAAGTCACCTGGTTATACATACTGTTGCTGCCTTTTCAGTGCTTCAACAGTTTAGGCTGGATCACCATCCCCGCATGCATAGTCGCAGCGTACATCATCATGTCGCGCGCTGCACCTCTCGCCAACGACTTCATGGGCCGTAAAGAGAACATGCCATTATACCCAATTTCGTATCTGAGCACGCGAGCATGTGCAGACAAGTCGCCAGAGGAGATACACGTTGCTTTATCGCAAAGAGTCGCCCTCCACTACCCCATGGTTGAGCATGGCGAAAGTCCAGCGCCGCCTGCGCAAGGCCGTTTATGTAGCGTGGAACGTTGGACTGAGAAAGGTGCACTGGGACCGAATGATACGACTGGCAACTACAGGAGAAAGTACGGGAGTGTGTAGTTGTCTAACATCTAGGCACCAAAAACACTTACCTCTGTTTTGCTACTTACAGCTAATCTTCAAGCAATGATGCTGCTCTAACCACGGTTGCTCTCAGCCTCTCAACGGGCCCTTCTTCCATGCCTTCCCCATACCACCCAGCCCTCCAATGTTCGTCAACAGCGTCTCCAAATTCCACGCCTCCCTCTCCTCTCCAATACCCAAGAATCCCAGGTCTGCCAACAGCCTATGCGTCTTCTTACCGTACATTTCCGCCTTCCCCTTATCCCCCTTCTCCAACCATAGCATCGCCAACATGGCGTACTCATCAGTCAACATGGACCAAATCCCCTCTTCCTTGATCATCTCCACAGATTCTACTGCCAGAGAGATCGCTTCGGTGAGTTTGTACTCTTGCGCTAGTTCTATGATCTTTTCCTCGGCTTGCGCGATCACGGTGCGGCGGAGATCTGAAGCCTGTCGTTCTTGGGTAGGGAGGCTACATAGGTCGCATGTGCATTTGAAACCCCAGCGCTTTATTAAAGATTGGCGTTTCGGAGAGGGGAGGCCTAGGAGGAGGTCCAAGTTATATCAGTATGGCTAATTGGGGGAGTTTGTGGGTATCTTACAGGATACGGTGATTTCCTCGCCAGGTTCGATATCGCGGTAGGCTTTTATGGCCATTGAGACGCCAGCGCGAGAGAAGAGAACGAAGGAATTTGGGTTGCAGGCATGGTTTATTCGCTGGTACGTTCAGTCTCGTGATACTTCGTATACCTCACGTCGTGACTTACTGAAATTAGTGGATATAACGCCTTCGAGCTGACCTCAGCCACCGTACTTCCATAAGAATTTGTCTTCATGATATCTTCTTCCAATCTCCCTTCTGTGTCCTGTTCTTCATCACCTTCATTGGCGTCGCCTCTGTTTCCGGCATGCGCAGCACTCATATCTCGAATCATACCCGGCACGAGCAATTGATCCACCGCCCTCTTCAACAACTTCTTGTTCTCCTCATCGGTCAAAGCATTCTCGGCTTCTACGTCTACCACAACAGCTGCTTGGTCAATCATGAATGTCTCGTACATCTTGATCTTCCGAGTAGCTACTACGCCTTTCGCTTTCCCAGGTACGTCCACGATCTTCCATGGTTGGCCGCCAAGGTACAGACGTTCAGCGTCTTGCTGCGTTAGGAAACTATTGATTGGGTTGTCGTCGAGATATTTTGTTGCTAAATGCGCGGAAGCCGGGGAGAAGACGAGGGAAAGGCCATGTGGGCCTGTTGTGTTGGATGTGTAGACGCAGTATTCCTGATCCAATGTGGTAAGATACGAGCTGGTAATGCAGTATGGCTTGTGTGACCATGGCGCATCGTGATGGGTTCCGCCTGAACCGAGGACATGTTGTAGATCTGGTTGCAGGAGGTCATTGATATCGAATACACCTACTGTTGCACTTGCAAGGCCAACCGTGGCTAACGCTGTAACAGCTGCTGAAGCTAGGAAACGAATGTCCATTACGTCGAGTCGCCAGTATGGAGATGTCGAAGAGTGTTCAATCAACAACACCCATGCGAAAACATCACTATGAATACAATCCGATTTCTCTTGGTGTTCGCTACCCTACAGCTCCCGAAGTGGCAGCATACGTCAGGCACCTTTACCCGGAAATTTACCCCAGACATCCCTTGCGAACCCAAGAACTTGGAACTTTGCACGGTACATCACGGCAGCCCACTCGCGAATAGAAATCATAGTCGCGTCGACGTCCCTAGTAACGCGCATCTCAGAGGCTTGTCGCCTAGGAGTTTAGATGGTGCCATTGAAGAACGCCGTGCCTCTCATATCTAAATCTGACACAATGTTGGTGTCACTCGTAGAGACACATTGTATGCTCTTTATCCAACAAGATAGCAAATTACATTCTTAAGATATTCACTGCTTGTAATCAAGGTCTCCGAAGTCGCACCAGCTCTGCTCCATTTCCGTATGCGAATTCCGACCCTTGCACCCTATCACTACCTGAAACAACGCAAGCATCCAAGATAAATCCTGCGCCACGAGCAACGTCATTGCTAATAAGGTTAAACGTTAGTTCGCAGGACTGTTTAAGTTCTCAATAAGAATGCTTACCAGGAAGAGTCTTTGTTACCGTCGGTCGTCAATGCGGCCGTGTTGATCTGGCATTGCAGATAGACGTTGCGGCAGTTGGTCTTGCGGGCGACGGTGTTGATGCATGCAACAGCATCTGTGATCTGTCAAGCAGGGTGATGTCAGTGACTTTCCTCGCCCAGCATCTTGAGTGACTGATTCGTTTCACGTACAAGGCAATCTGTGTTCGCGCTCTCATAGCAGGTAGCGCGCTTCTCGTACAAGCTACGACTGAACTTGGCTATATGTAGATCGGTAAAGGTAAGCTTCCATTCAGGCACGATGTATGGATCAGAAGGTGGACATACCTGACGGTGAAGAATTGAATTGTCCACTCTTGAAGGCAACGACGACCTCCTCGGGTGTCATGTTTTCACCATCGGGATTCTCAAGGATACCATCAACCCATTCGGAAAAGGATGTAACTGCCTTGGCAGCAACAACGGCCTGGCCGAGGGCTAGGAGAGAGGCAACGTAAGGGAGGAGTTGGACCATTGTGCTGACAGGTGCTAACTATGAAGGTGTATATCTGTGGTTTTCTGTGTAGAGAGATGAAGACAGCGAGCAACCATAGCTACCTACTTATACTGTTGACTTGATCAGAGGAGTGCACGAACACAACGGCAAGCTTTTACTTAGTCCGCGCTTTAGGTCTTTTGATTGGTGGTTTACATGAGAAGCAACGAATTGTGGACTGACGGTACAAAAGTAAGGACTAAAGGCGGCATTGCTCCTCTTCTTGAGGCTTTGCAGTGGGTTTTGTGGGCGCCTTTGGTTGCCTTTGGATGCCTTTGGTTGCCTGATCGTCTCGATGAAACTACCTCGCCGAGGTGGCTGAAGTTCGGCCCGAGCCGCAAGGCGTCACCCGGCCGGGAATACTTAGATACGTTCTTTTCAACTCAGTTCTATTACCCTTAGATGGTTTGATTTCTTCTGAACGCATCTGAATACACTGTGTTATGAGTTTCAATGTTCCAAGGTGTCTGGTGTCCGACCCTCGTCCAATCTCGGCCGGAGACTGTCAGGATGCAGGTTTATTTCCACTGCGCCGAGTAGCCGAAAAGGTTAGCCTAATTAACGATAGTTGACTGTGGAGCAAAACAGTGCTCGTACATAATCAATCGATCGTGCTCGCGCGAACATCCAGTCACTCAATTTCTTGGGTAATGCCTCTCCCGCTCGCGTGCAGCGTAGGTGCGAAGTCTTACCGCAGCGACAGAACGTTGGCTGCTGACATACATCGGGGTTAATTCATTCTAGCACAACTTCAATGGCTCCTCTGAATTCGAGCCCGATTAGGTTCTGGTAGGAGATGTAGTGCTTAGTACTGACTCGTACAACGGGAAAAGTTACACAGCACAGCTTTGGCTACCTAACAACGGTGTACTGTCAGCGTACCTTTCGTCAGCTTCCAATTCGATACCCATGGGTTTTGACGGCGCTCGCCTCTAATCTTATGGAATCACATCCTTCTAGATCAACACTTACTGCATAAACGTTATCGCCTAGGTAGCGATGCCCTACCAAACTGAAGATTCGTCGTTCGAAGCGTCGCGAACTGAATTAGTGAGCTGGCAGAAGTACATCGCAAAAGTTGCTCGCTCAAACGTTCCCATGCGTATTCAAAAGGCACAGAAAGAAGGTGAGAGCTGAGAGGCTCGTCTCCGAGGACACTTCTGTAGGTATGTCTCCTGTCCCATAGAATCAAATCGAGTCTATATATCCTTTATGACCATCTATGTCTATGTGTGATGATAGAAACAGCAACAGGGCCAACATTGATCTTACTGGCAATCTTGCTGGATACATTCTGTTCGAGAAGCAGAATATAGATAGCCCGGCCGCCCATCCCCGCTTCATGCGCGATTTCGGGTTTTTCTAGTAGTAGTGTTGGATGGCGGATTAACTGGCGTCTTCGCAGATTTCCTAGGTCGTCCACGGGGCCGCTTTGGCTTCGACCCATTCGCCGTGTTTGATTGAACTGGCGTCTTCGCAGATTTTCTAGGTCGTCCACGGGGCCGCTTTGGCTTCGACCCGTTCGCCGTGTTTGATTGATGACCACTGTTACGCCTCTTCTGGATCTGGATCGTGCTTGAGACTCTGGTCATCTTTCCTTTTTGCGGTCTTTTTGAATGACGACCATGAGTATTTTCTCTCATTTTGAGCTTGTTTTGCAAACGAGTGTTGACGGATTTGGCATATCTGGCTTTTGTAGATGCTTCTTTGATCTTCAACCATATCGGATCAGCTAGATATCTCAAAACGTCATCTGTCTGATATAGTGGCGGGTCGTGCTCTTCGCAATGTACGAGCCATCTTTCAAGATGTTCGATGACGAATTTGCGATGCTGATTAGCAGCGAAATCATGGATTTGATCCACGAGACAGATGAGTTCATACGCCCGACTGAAGTCCTTGACATCGCCCTCCCATATGGTTTCCGCGTGCTGTACTCTTATTAGCTCGAGGTAAAAGCAGAGTGAAGTATCCTGGATATACTACTCACACACATTTCTAAGGAATAGCATGCTATGTATACTCTCCAGGATGACCCACAAGAGGTGAAGCCAAAGAGTTGGTATTGCGTACTCTCTTCACACTGATATCTTGTGACGTCCGAAGGATCTCGAGCTAGGTCGTCAAGCATGGCCAGATAAACTTTAAAAGCATGGTAAACTTGGGCCTCAGCTTTCTCCCAAGTGGACGCGCGTTTCTTCGCTTCATATACAGCAAACGGAAATATGAGATTTGACTCGCCCCATACCCCATCAACTATCAACCCACACCCCGAGTCAAGCAACTGGCGATCGATTCGGTCATCCCACAGAGACTCGCTGGGTTGCATACTGTCGTGATTAATCTTGCAATCATCCACTTCGCATATGTAACCATGGTCGATGTCTGAGCCACTAAAGGTCCTTAGACCCATGGTCGCATCAGGTATACGTCTTTTGACAGACATTTTGTTATTCCCGTCTTTTTCGATGAATTCGTATGGTCGTTTGTCTCTGGGATAACAGTCAGATCTTTCTGCTTGGAAGATTGATGGCAGGTGAGCCAAAGAATTGGTACAACATTCGGAATGTGTCATCGTCCCTAATCAAACTGAATACGTCGCGCCATGCATCTACTTCCCAGTTGAACTCCGAAGCCTCAAGTACCTGATTTCGTACAGCTCGCGTTCGCAACGTACTTGCTCGCTCATCCAGATCTGCATGCTTCTCATCGCTCAATTGGTTTCGGTAGAGATTGACGTCGAGCTCGGGGTAGAATTTTCCTGATTCTAGTGCCGGCGATCGACCTGTTAACCAGACTGGTAGTCGGTTGATAGATATGGTTTCGAACGGTTGTGGTATCAACGGTTTGGTACGTTTACGGTGTGGTCGAGAAGTACTCAAAGGTCAGCGACCGATCTTGACTATGCTCTTGAGCAACTCACTGTTTCAATGCCATAGTTTAGAAGAGGTTGGTCTCAATATGCTATTGGTGATCACACAGCAGAAAATCAGATATTCTTATACACGTACTTACAACGTGGTGAGCATTAGGCAACCACCAACGCAAAATGCGGAGGCTTTTCAGCTGTGAAACTGCTGTGCCACAGCCAAGATCATGCAATATACCCAAAGAGGCTGGTTGCATCCTACGTTGTAGCGTAAGAAGGCGCACATAAATGCATGCATTCAGGTACGTGAATGATTGTAGCATACATTAATTTAAATGGGCAGAATTAATTCGAGATGACAGTACCATCTGTGGTAAGCATGAGGAGGATAAGTCGATAGATAGAGCGAGGCTGAGCGCGATGCATAATTGTGTTGTCTCAGATCTGATCCTTCGTAATCACTTTCGTTCGCGTCAGCCAACTACCAGGAGTTCACCCAGGCACGTTGTTCTAGGATCAAGAACTCTAGATCCTGCGCGAAACATTGCCACAGACCACTCTCTGATAAGAGCATAACAGTGTTAATTTTAGTGCATCATAGAGATAGCAAATGCATTCTGCCTAGTTGTATACATGGAGAGTGTCAACATCGCTGCTTTGGTCACTCTATCGTTGCAACAAGATCAGCTCAATTTATCTTATAGATGCGGTATTGATACTTCCCTCTTTCCACTAGTGCAAGAGGCGTACTTGATACTGTACGCAAGATCTAGCTGAGTTTCGTACAAATTATGTAAAACATGGAGGCTGAAAAGCAAGCCAAATATTCCTACAGTGTGAAATACCTGATCTGCTGTAGTCCATCTGGTGATACACTTAGCGCATAACGTGAAGGACAACGAGAAGAGAGCCGCCATGGCTGTGGTGGTGGTATCCACGTCGAATGCGCGTAAGTAGTAAAAGAAGTAAACGATAGACGAGATCGCCGCACCGAAGATTACGATGAAATAGGTAAGATCCCAGATGAACCGATATGTTTCCGAATGGAGAGCCTTCCTGAAAGGCTCCAACATGCATCTAGGTACCAGGGGGGCAAAGATCGGCCGTATCACGGACATCTATGATGGTTGTAAGCAACAATACACGAGATGTAAGCTGAGAGCTGACCTACCACTCCATCGTAGAGGAATCTCATGAAAGATACAACTGTCAGCAAGTTTTTTTGAAATCTGTGTCGCTTGATCTCGGTCCGCAATCGTGCAAATGCCCTCGCTCTACCCTCGCCGTATATGAGCGGCATCTGCACCCCGAAGAAGCCCAGGAGACAATATGCTGCGTCCTCTTCGCGTTTTGTCCTCCTATGCATTGTCCAGTCTATCCTCTTCTCAACATTATAGTTGACAGCGTAGTTGTTGTCCTGTAAGACGTCGATAGGAATATGCGTTTGGCGTGCGATACCCTCTAGAAAACTCGCTCTGTCTCCCAGTTCGGTTCCATCTGCAGCGAAGAATACCAATGTTTCCGGTGCGAGAAGCTCTTGAAAGGTCCAGCCGCGCGTAAACCATCTGCTCGACAGGAAAGTGTCTACGGGGATTTCTTGCCGTATGATATCCAAGATCCGACAAGGAACGTCCGAGAGATAGACGTAGCATTTTGTTGAGCCCTTATACCACGCGTACATTGAGTTGATAGCCTCAGAGAGTTCGGCGCTGCTACCCTTGTCGATGCAGCATGTATCAACCCAGAAGAACTTCAATCCATCTCTTGCCGCCTGCGCAGCGCAGAACCGCAGCTTTTCGTATCCAAGCTTTGTCTTGCCTTTACCCTTGCCCTTGTATATATCTTTGAATATGACTTCTTCATGATCCGCACCCCAGGTGTGAGAAAGAATCGCATATGGCGGGATGTCATCAAAATATTCGACGAGGCTGAAGTCGTTGTCGGATGTAGCCTGTAAGAGGCGCATATGAGCGCCTGTGTTGAGAGCTGTAAATGATTATGATGCAGATAGTGCGGCACGCGCACACGCCGGATTACTCTGGAAACAAATGGTACGACATTAATTATAGGAGCCACTGAATTACGTCGGTACAGCAAGGCTGCACGAGATGCGCGAGGAGATCGTCTCATGTTAGCGCTCGCTTCAGCAGTTTGTCTTCGTGTCAGCCAACCATTGTCGTGTGGGCGCTTACCATACGAGGCGACCACTCGCTGTATCAATGAAGCCTGTATGACATCGGCAGATCAACAACAATTAGACCTTAATTACATGCGGAATGAAACAGCTAAAGAAAAAAAGTGGACGCTTATGGTAATTGGAGAACTTACATCGGTATCGCTGATAGGAAAAGATTGCGATGCTTGCAACAGGCAAGGTATAGTCGAAGAATGAGACCTCGGCACACAAGATTGCATGTATGGAGTCGAAGACATGAGCTAAATTTCCTTGCTTGTTGATATTATGTCGAACGAATTGACTGAGTTGTCATGAGCCAGCATCAAAGTCAGCGCCGCCGCTGCCTTCAAACTTGCGCCTTGCTGGTGTGTCATTCATCCTATACATCATCAACAACTACTACACATCTTAGAGCCTCGAGCTTATTCTGTTTCAGTCTAGTCGGTGCGAGGCAGGACGCCGAGTGATGTTAAAAGATGCGAGGGCGGGCGCTGTCCAGCGAGGCTGAAGCATTACGTGTATTGATTAGCCCCCGCTAAACGGTGTGCGTTCGCATTGAGCAGCCACAACTGTTGATCGCCAGGGTTTGTGCAGGCTTGGTCTCCAACGATAAAGACAAGAGGCTGAGCTGTGACGCAACGATTGACTTTTCCCGTCAAGTTGAAACTCACGACCTCGCGAGAGAAAAAAGAGTTATTCGCTCGTACTTGAAGACGAAAGAGTAGCACTTGTGTACACCATGTCTGCCGCTGAAATCTTAGGTGTCAATGGTGTTCGACGAGTAAAATGACATCTGTTGCACATAGAGCACCCAACTTCGCTCGACCTATATTGACGCTCTCTTTCACCTACTGACCTCATCTCCAAAACTTATCCAGGCTTCATCAGTCGATCTGAAATAGCAATAAGAGAATTACAGCAGTTGTTGCGGTGGTGCCGAACTTTAATGACTGTATAATGAAAACACCTCTCAAGAAAATCATAAGAATAAGCAGACACATCAATAAGAAAATCATAAGGATAAGCAGACACACCAATATAGAATAGGCTGTATCAATGATGGTAACTACCTTGTAAGAGGTAGAGGCTATTGTATAGAACATGATCATGAAAAGAGGTATCGCGATGGGTGAGGAGAGGGTAGCATAGACATCCTAACACATGTTAGTGATATCTTTCAGATGCTGGGGTTGATGCGCACCTGTATTATGTAGTCAGGCGTTTGGACTAGAGTCTTGTATGTTTCAATGACGGTCGCATGCCGATTATTCTGTTCGATCTCGATAAAAAGCCTTCGAAGTGCTCGCGTGCGCCCCTCGCCGTAGAGAAGTGGCATGTTGACGTCGAACAGACCCATCAAACAATATACAGCGTCTTCCTCACGTTTAGTTTGGCGTCGTTTTGCCCATGATAGTACTTGATGTGTTGTGCAATGTTTGATCGCGTCCAGACGACCTTGCAGAACAGCTTCCGGTATTCCCGTGACTTCAACTATGTCGTGTTGAAGTGAAGCTCTGTCTCCGATGTATATCTCTTCAGCAGTGAAAAATTGGACTGACTTGGGAGCAATGAGCTCCTGAAGTGTCCAACCGCGTCTGAACCACCTGCTGCTCTGAATGATCCGAGCATCAGCTTGCATAACTTTGTGGGTCACATCCGAGAGGTACACATAGCATACAGCAGCACACTGATACCAACGGTACATCGAGTTGATGGCTTCCGATAGCTCCGCACTACTGCTTTTATCAATGCAGGCTGTATCCACCCAAATATAGCGAATATGGTTTCGCACAGCTTGTCGCGCGCAGAACTGAAGCTTCGCATACCCGGGTTTTGTGGCACCCTTCTTTTCTACGATGTCGCGATAGTTGACTTCTTCGTGATCTTCGCCCCAGGTGTGAGAAAGGATAGCGTAAGGTGGTATCTCAAAGGAGAACTCAGTAAGATTGAAGGAGCCATCGGTGTCGACATGCAGTAGTCGCATAGCGCAGAGGAATGATTGTGTGGATAGTTTGAGGACATTGATGGAGAAACGCGAAAGGTAATGGGTTATGAGGTCTTAGGTGCTGTCAGCTTCAGGTAAGGTCAGCAAGGCACCAGTTGAAAGCAAGGTACGAGGCAGTGCAATAACAATTCATGCGCGTTGCTCAGACTCTGGTGGCGGTGCATTCCGATTTTAGCCTACTTCTTATTCGACTGTACCCTCAAGTCATGCAATAACGTTCCTTCCTGTGTCATGTGGGCGATATTCGTCTAGCCTGTGCATCATCAACATCTTCTCCATGCCTCAAAGCTTCGAGCTCATACCAGTATACGCAATGCACTCAATCTCGACCGGCACACCCTTGGGCAGCTGCTTGACGGCAACACAGCTGCGCGCAGGCTTGTGGGAGAAGTACTGCTCGTACATGCCGTTCATCTCGGCAAAGTTTGCCATGTCGTCGAGGAAGACGTTGACCTGTCAGCGCAATCAGTACCTTGTTTTACCCGCGTTTCAAATCCTTCAGGATCGGTATGCCTCTCAAGCCACATATCAATGGGACAAGACGTGTTTCGCTGGCGTAGACGCACCTTGACAATCCTGTCCATAGCAACACCCGCCTCGGTGAGAATACCCTTGATGTTCTCGCAGCACATCTTGGTCTTGTCCGCGATGCTGCCCTCGATCAAGTTGCCCTTGGTATCGGCGGGGATTTGACCGGAGACGAAGACATTGGGGCCTGCAACAATGGCTTGTGTCTGTGGTGTGCCCGTTAGCACTGTATATGTCGAGGTGTAGCGTCCTGGTATAGCTCATTGGAGCTTCGTAAGGAAAGAGGAGAGACGTACGTAGGGTCCAGCAGCTACACCATCTGTTAGCAGAGCTTCTTCACAACAACTAGATATTTCAGCACAACTTACGAGGACACGCGTTCGCGGTGTGAACCTTCTTAATGTCCGACATCTTTCTGATAGCTTCAATGGAGTATACTGGACGTTGTTGCCGTAGTATAGATGTCGTAGAAGTAATGGTAGAGGGAAAAGATCTCAAAGCTCGCAATGTAGCTGTGCGTATCAGCAGCATGGGACAGTTTATCTACGTCAGGTAAACCAAGGCTATCGTCGGCGGAGGCGCACCTAGATGAGCGCGTCCGCCCTATCGCAGTGACACGAGGCGGGACCGGCATCGGAAGCTACCCCACTTTCCTCTTTGGTGGCTGCTGTGTCAGCACGATGCAGGGATGTCCTGTGGCATGGAGGGGTAAACAGCGGAAATTTTGGGCACTGTGAGTTTTGCGACGGAGAGCGGTGCGCATTCAAACGGGCGTGACCTCGGCGTGATGGACAAGAAGAACAGTCTAATGTAGCCTTGGTACGCATCATAGTGACCAGTTGTCAGTGGAGAGGTTTGAACGTATTCATCATAAATCTTCGCAGCGCTTTCCCATCTCAGCGCGCATACATCGTGACTATACAAACCGCCAACGCCGCCCATATGCAATTCCCCAACCACCCATCTATATCATGTTTTTTTGTTTACGGCATCGAGTCGAGATTCATCCCAATGTTACAGATCTACTGCACCATCTTCTCCTCCTGGCCCGAAAGCAATGTGTGTACAGGCGCATCGAGCTGATCGCGGCCCTTGAGGAAGTCCAGCTCGAGAATGAAAAGGTAGCCCATGATGGTTCCTCCTAGCTTCTTCACCAGAGAACCAGCTGCAGCTGCGGAGCCACCTATAATCTCGTTAGCAATTGTTCCACATTGGTCGCGCCGCATACGCGTAAGAAGGAAAAGTCCTCACCAGTTGCGATAATGTCATCAACAATGAGCACCTTCTGCCCGCTCTTGATAGCATCCGCCTGCATCTGGAAGAAGTCGCTTCCATACTCCTTCTTGTACTCAGCCGTCTCACACGGACCAGGCAACTTGCCCCTCTTCCTGACGGGCACGAAACTTGCACCCAGCCTCAGCGCCAGACTAGGTCCGAACAGGAACCCACGCGCATCGAGTCCGACAACAACATCAGGCTTGGCACCCGAGGCGCCAAATTGCTGCTCGATGGACAATTCAAGACCGCGCAGCAGTCCCTCGTGCAATTGCGGGTTGGCAAAGATGGGCAGGATGTCCTCGAACAAGATGCCTGGCTCGGGGAAGTCTTTGAACTGGCGCAGCGAGGCCTTCAGCGTGCTTTTAAGACGGGTGAGTTCGGCGGCGGGGGAGGGATGGGGGGTGGACTGTCCTCCTTGGGCGGCGCCATGGTCGTTGGAGGAGAGGGTTGGGTCGGGCTTTTGCGGGGGTGGGTGCGCGGCGGTTGCGTCGCCCTTGAGTGGGGGGTCGGCGGGCGTCGTCGTGTTGATGGGTTGTGTGGTGTGGGCGGGCGTGTCGTGGGGAGCGGACATGTTGGAGGGAGGGGGAGGGGGACGGCGTAAAGATATAAGACGGAGCGGACTGCAAGGTAAGATGATGGGATGGGTGACGCGATAGATAGGGCTAGGTAGGTTGCCGGGTTGGGGTAAGGCAAGGTGGTCAAGGCTGTCCTGGGTTGCGTTGGGCTGGCTATGGCTGGCTGCACTGCAATGCTGTCAGATTTCGGGGGGTGTGTGTGGTGCGTGCCTTGTTCGGGAGTTGGGTCTTGCTTGACCTGCCCGGGACGCAAAAGAAAAAAAATAGTTAGGGCCGTCTGGAAAACGGTCCGTAGGCGCAACACAAGTCCCTCTAGTCCCACCTCCTCCGAAACTCTGATAGGCGAGCACAAGAGCGGCCAGGGAAATCGGGGCGCCCCGCCCTTGTTCAGCCGCGAAAGCAGAGACACGTTCGAACATGGTTGCCTATACACCACCACGCTTCTCGATGCGGCAGCTCCATAACCCTCAACAGCACAGAGCCATCCTATCGCACTCGCTGTACCACCCTGTGTATGGCCTCATCCCTGACCCACAACTAAATCCGCGGCGCCAAACGTGTGCCAGAAAGTCCCTTATCGGAACCAAGGCATGCCGAACTGAACGTGCATTCTCACATGTCGACGTCACGGAAGGGAGCAGAATTTGTTGGGAAGCGCAGTATGACTCTTACCCAGCTGCTGTCTCTCTCTTTGCACTTTGCGACGCCATGGATCCCATGTGTTTGGTCGTCTATAGTAGTGTTGAATATCGCGTCTTCTAGCTTTGGATTCGCGATTCGCGCAATCTATTACACAAACACGACATGTCAACACCGCCATGGCCATAACTTGCTCGGCTCGCAAGCAAAAGCCAAAGCCAGCGCCGTCGTAGGCGTAGCGGCACTCTACGTGCAGTACCCCACGGATGAAGTAACCGAAAGGCAACTAAGGCGTTGTGGCAGCGGTGAGACGTTCTAGAAGGTCGAGCGGGATGCAGGGCTTGTTTGTATCACGCTGGTATACGATCATGCAATCGCGATCATCTAGCTTGTCATGATAACAAGCCAGTCGCGACAACCAGTCCCAACGCTGCCTGAGCAGTCGTCAACGAAACAACTTATAGGGAGGGATATGTATGTGTGATGAATCTAGACTTTATCAAACGCCTGCGCAAGTTGGCAAAACATTCAGGTAAGCAGACACTTTACGCGTCCTCGCAGCGAACAAGCCATGCATCCCCACAATAAGCCGCGGCGTGCATGCATACGAACTAATAGGGTGGTGCGTAGCGCCTTGTCTTCAGCTGTCATTTCATCGACCCCCGTCAGCCAAATGCATGACGCGATCGTGAGGCTCTTCGGTTTGGACCACGGCTAATATCAGCGTTTCGTGATACAATCCCTTAGTCACAACAAAGGACCATCTGAGGCAGCAGACGCGTGTCTCTCTGAAGAGCCATGATATAACAACATTCCGAGTGGATTCAATGTTGCTCTAGAAGCTTGAGAAAAGGTGGGTATATATATTGTTTGATATGCCGCTGCCGCTGCAACCGCGGAGGCTCCCGGTGATGGTCCAGACTAAAATGACCTCCGTACATGGCGTATCGTCTCTCCACTACATGTGTGCATGAACCAATAAAGCAAGACTTTTGCTCAACCCCAGACATCCATGTTGTTGACAATGCATTCCTCATCCGCATCTGTCCTCTTCTTCAGACTACCCACCACGTAGACCTTCTCGCCATACTCCTGTAGTCGGTCCATGGTCGTCCTGACGTTCTCCTGGCTGACAACAAGTACCATACCAAGACCTGTGTTGAAAGTCCTCGCAAGCTCCGAATTCTCCAAACAGCCCGCGCTCTTGAGCCATTTGAACACGTCCAAAAGCGGCCAGCTCTTTGCGTCGAGCTCGGCAGCCAGGGTCTTGGGCAACATGCGAGGAATGTTCTCCGTTAAGCCGCCACCCGTGATGTGGGCCATACCCTTGATGAGGCCCCGCTTGGTTGCAGCTAGTAGTGGTTTGACGTAGATCTTGGTGGGTGTCAGGAGCGCGGTCCCGAGGTTCTCACCTGAGCTCCACGGGCACGCATCTGAGTACGAGATGCCTTGTGTCTCGACGATTCTTCGGACGAGCGAGAAGCCGTTGGAGTGGACTCCGCTTGAGGCCATGCCGATGAGCACGTCACCCTCAGTCATGGACGCTGTGTCTGGTAGGATAGTCGCGCCTTGCTTGATGGCACCGATGGCTGCACCACCGGCGTCGTATTCGCCTGACTGGTAGATACCGGGCATCTCTGCCGTCTCTCCACCAACAAGCGCACATGCAGATTGCCGGCAGCCGTTGGCGACGCCCTCGACAAACTTGGCAGCACCTTCCACATCTAGCTTGCTGCAAGCATAGTAGTCGAGGAACATCAGTGGCTCGGCGCCCTGTACAACGAGGTCATTGACGTTCATGGCGACAAGGTCGATACCAACAGTGTCGTGCTTGCCCATTTCGAAGGCAATCTTGACCTTGGTACCAATACCGTCGATGGCGCCCACGAGTATCGGTGCCTCTGTGTAGCCGGCTGCTTGCAGGTCGAGCAAGCCGCCAAATCCACCGATTTTGCCATCGGCTCCCGGCCGTTTTGTGCTGGCAGTCAATGCCTTGATCTGCTTGACGAGCTGGTTGCCCGCGTCGATGCTAACACCTGACGATGCGTACGTCAAGGCCTCGCCCGCTAGCTGTGAGGTGCTCGAAGGGCGTGTCACGGTGGTGCCTTCCTGGGCCGGCTCAAGCAGCTTCCAGTCGCATGTTATACCCTCCTTCTTGAACTCTTGTAACAGATGCTCTGCAATCTGGTCGAAGTTCTCGGTCGCGAGGGCGAGTATGGTGGGGCCAGCTCCTGAGAGACAAATGCCCAGAAGGCCAGGGTGTGATTGTGGGGTAACGGACTGGAGGATCTCGGTAAGACCGGGGATGAGGCCGCGACGGTAGGGTTGGTGGAGCTTGTCTTGCATGGCTGTGTAGATCATGTCGGGGTCTGGTGTGGCTTGACCGAGGGCAGTGGTCAAGACAGCCAGTCGCTGCATGTTGAAGATGGCATCTTTGCGTGAGTACGACTCTGGCAATACCGCGCGCGCCTTGGCCGTGGACACTTCGAACTGTGGTATTATGCATATGCACTTGATGGCGGGCGACCAGTCAAACTTGGTGTAGTGACCAATGTTGAGCGGAGGCTCGGGTGGGCGCAGACCCGTGTCTACACCACCGGCGGGTTGTGGCAGAACTTCACTGAGAGGGATCTCAAGGCGCTCAGTGTCTTCGGGCGATAGTTCGTTGAGGTATGTGCCGACAAATCCTCCGTACAAAGCCGCTGCGACGTTGTCTGGGTGGCGCTCTTCCATCAGGCAGTAGTCGAGCATGCGCGCTCGCGACAGCTTGAGGTTGCCGACCTCATTCGCCAGGTATACGCCTCCTACAATAGCCGCGGCTGAGGAGCCCAGTCCCCGTCCGAGTGGTATCGGGTTCTTGACGTGAACGTGTGTCTCGGAAGGGAAGTCGCGAATGCCATGGCATCGAAGCACGTATACGGCCGTTCGTGTGATGAGGTTGTCTTGCGCAACGAGAGGGACGTCTTCCGCGCCTACGCCTTCATAAGTTATCTTGCAGTTGAGTGAGTGTTCTGATTTCTCCTTCTTGGTGACTGTGACGTCTAGTTCAAGGTAGAGGTTCAGCGCCAGGCCGATGACGTCGAAGCCGGGGCCAATGTTGGCGGACGAGCAGGGTACTTTGATGTGAGTAGTCATTTTGGGCTAAAGAGCGCCTGAGGCTTGACGTGATGCCTTCTTTATGTCGACGCGCAAAAAATGTCTAGTCAGCGCATGGGTGACGAAAAAGATAGCGTGGGGCTCAAACTCCGGCTCCGGTCGCGGGGTAGCAAAACGCACCGCCACACCGAACCATGCTTCATCAGCCTCACCAGTCGGATCCGCGTCCAACAACGCGACCACTCGATCAGTACTCCCGTCCTATCTCATCTTATCTCGTCTATGTGCATGGCTCCCCACTCGCACCACGAATGCGTAATTGTGTGTTGACATTACCAAGTCGAGCTTGCCCTGTCTCCCCCCACTGCGGAGACTTTCAGACATCACCATAAGGAGGTGAGATTGGATCGTTCCTCTTATCATTGACTATGGCGAGGATGAAACGTTGCAAAGACATCTTGAATCTGGTGAAGGCAGTAGATCTCGGGTAACATCATGCAACTCGTTTCTGCGCCCTTGCGGCGATTATGCAATCCAGTAATTTAGCAACGCCACAGCTGACGCCTGTGTGACCTGACGACATTGACAGCGCACCGCGCACTCCAGTAATCACATCAAGTACGAATACATACCTAGAGGCCGCCCACAAGAGATCAAGAGCGTGATTTTCAGCCCTTGAGCAGAATAACCGCTACCAGATCTACAACAGGCAGACGTTCCACTCCTCTCCAGGCAACAGGCAAGGCTGACTGGCTTCTTGGCTCACGAGGTGTAGCCTTGCGAAGTACTTATTTCTCTCAAAGCCTCACTTCTCTTACCCTCTTCTTGTACGGTCAATCCTCCAGCTGGAGAATCGACGTGAATTGTTTTTTCTTCATCATCAAGACTGAGATTGTTCCTCCCAATCGCCACACCGAAGCCTCAGCCCACATCTATAGAGCTCGCCTTTCAGCTTCTCTTACTTCACACTCTCACCCAACCGGCTCTTTGTCCATTGGCATCCAAATTCAGCACTCGTGCCGGCTAAACGTCGACAAGACTCCACCACATATACCCAGGCTATCCGATTGAGCTTGTCAGAAACCGACTTGATCATGTGCGACTCACCCGCCGAAGAACAGATGAGCATACAACAACTGGAATTCCTGCGTGAGATCATGGCGAAGGAAGTGCGCGAGAGACTCAATCGCAAGCCTCGATCGCCGTCTGTTTCGTCTTCATCAGAAGAAGACGAGCCCATCACTAATGGCAAGTCAAAGGCCAAGACTAATGGCGTCAAACATGTACTCATCAACGGTAAAAGCCGAAAGCAGGCTGAGAATGGCGTTGCTGATGGCAAGGACGCTAAAGAGAACGACAAGAAGGACGAGGAGCCCTGCGAGCCGGGAATGAAGAGCGGTCTCAAGCATCTTTACTCCGGCAAGGAAGACAAGAAAGGTCGCTTCCAGTGGCAGGAGGAAATTCCAGAAGACATTGGCGATCCCGTCGAAAACGATGAGACTGCCAAGTGGGCGCTGCTTGTGCGAAACGTCAAAGTCTATGGAGACCCCCGACGAGTCTTGTCCATCCACTCCGTCGTAGTCCAGAGCCCACTACTCAAGAAGCTACTTGCTGGTGTACTCAAGAACTACCCGGGTGTCACAGTGGGTCTCAATCGTCTCGAGTTCCAGGGCAAGTTCGAGCCACTCATCCATCGATGGGCTGAGCTGCAGGACGCTATCGCAAAGCTTGGCGATGACACGGAAGATAAGCGTACAACCAAAGCACACGCTGAGTTGCTTCAAGAAATCCTTACTAAAGAGTTCAAAACCATGATCGACACTTCTCAGGATATGAAGAGCAAGAAGGTCATGACTTACGAGCACTTGTGGACTTTATTCCAGCCAGGTGCGACAGTCTTTGCTCGGCAGGACGGACAAGAAACCGCCATGACACTTGTCGAGACGAAGTATGGAGTAGACTCTAATGGCGTGCCATGTTTCTGGCTGACATGCAAATACGTCGATTGGGATGGAGCCAAGTTCGGTTCCAACAAGATCAATCTCTCCATTTCCGTCTATACCGGTACACGCGCCATCACATCTTTGCGTGTTTACCCCATCGAGTTCCATCCAGAGGGTGAAGCCATCCGCGCTCGGCTCATCGAACGTGGTGCTAAGGCTGAAACCCTCGCTGGTCCAAACTATCGGGCATACCAGGGTGTCGCGTGGAGGCAGGGTCAATTCGGAAACAAGGACAAGTACAATGTGAAAGGTCGTATTGTCATCGACACATACGGCTGGAACCGCTTCAATCCCGCCCAAGCGATCTACGTCACGCCACTAAACCAGAAGGATCCCACCCCGCCACCACCTCCAGGCCAGTACGATGAGGGCGAAGAGGAAGAGTGCCAGGAGTTTGAAGACGAAGATGATAGCGGTATGCCAATCGATGGCGCGTTTGCGGATGAAGACGACGCAGCCAAACATCCGCCATTGACTACCGAGCAAAAGCTCATCTGCTCACCTCTGCTCCGTGGTTACAGCTTGAAGAACAAGCTCTGGCTAAACTTCTTCGTCAACTGCGTCAAGGACATCGAGTGGCAAACTGACGCTTTCGACCGCCTAGTGCTCCCCAAGAACCAGAAAGAGCTGATCCTAGGCTTCACAGAATCCCAACGCAAATTCCGTGACACCTTTGACGACGTAATCGAAGGAAAAGGGAAAGGCATGATTATCTTGCTCTGCGGTCCCCCAGGCGTCGGCAAGACCCTCACCTCTGAGTCCGTAGCCGAAGAAATGAAGGTTCCCCTCTACATGATGAGCGCCGGCGACCTCGGTTTCGACCCCCGCAAAGTGGAGGGCAAGCTCCAAGACATTCTCGAAATGTGCAGCCGCTGGAATGCCGTTCTCCTTCTCGACGAAGCCGACGTCTTCCTCGAGCAACGTTCTTTGCACGAACTCGAGCGCAACAAACTCGTTTCCATCTTCCTGCGCGTACTGGAATACTACGAAGGTACCATGTTTCTCACAACCAACCGTGTTCAAACTTTCGATCCAGCATTCCAATCCCGCATCCACATCTCGCTCGACTACCCCGGTCTCACCATCGACTCGCGCAAGACGGTATGGAAGAACTTTTTGGATTCGAGTTCGCAGGAACATACTATTGATAAGGCGCAGCTTGTGGAGTTGGCGAGGATGGACTTGAATGGACGCCAGATTAAGAATATTCTCAAGATTGCTAGGTTGTTGGCGAGTAGGAAGGAGGAGAAGTTGAGCCGGGAGCACATCACGGTCACAATGGATGTTACGCAGCACTTGCATAACGAGACGCAGGCTAGTGAGCGGACGAAGGGGACCTTGTATGGTTAAACTGGCTACAGGCTTAGAGACTAGGCTATCATTTCGGAATCATCCATGGAGTTCATGGGAGGGTTATGGTAACCTTTTTGGATGCGGTTTGATAGTTTTCCAGAGGCTGTTTAATCATTGGCGTTGAGAGACATGGCGTTTCATATACGTAGGAGATGAGATTACTCATAGAAGCACTTGAATGAGTATTGGTACTCTAATCTACCATTCCTGTAATGTCCCCTCTGCCTCGAAGGCAAGATCGATACTACGAACTAGTCTTCCAACGGTCACCAACCCAATCATAGGCATTTCTCAAGAATTTCTCCTCCGTCTCGTTGAGCCAGTAATCAAACCCGTGCCCAACGTTATCGGAACTATACTCATTATTGATGGAGCCATCCGGATTTTCGCTCTTTCTCACCGCCAGCCTCTTCACGATATCGAATCGCAGATTCTTATCGTTGTTGTATCGTTCCGGGTACTTCGTTTCCAATACTCTCACAAACTCTTGAGTATTATCGATAGGACAGTTTGGGTCATTCCATCCATGAAAGATGTATATGGGCGGGAGAAGTTGATGCAAGACACTAGCTTGAGTATTGTTCGCCCGCTCAATACCGTCCATATAGTCTAGTTCGTCTCTCTTAGCTTTGGGGAGAGAATGTTGGCGTTGGAAATACCATTGCCATCTCTCTGTAACGGAGAGAATGAAGGCGAAAGCCATGCCCACAGAAGGCCAGCGCGACGAGCAAGTTGGTACGAGACTGTGACTTTCTAGCCACTTGGTCAGGTCCGTAATATTGGCTTCGCGCTGCAAAACGTCCTTCTTCGTGAAGCAAACTCCCATGTAATTCACCTTGCCATCCTTGTCGGCGATCTTGTCCCACTTGCGCTTGTAATGCGCGATCATCGGGTATCGAAGTAGCGCCACGTCGATGGGCAAGTTCGGCCCATCCTCTGCAGCGTTCAGCCACAATGCGGTGACAGCCGCTTGACCACCAGCGCTCTCGCCCTCGACATACACGTGGTCCTTGTCGATGGTAAAGTTCTGCACAGGTATCCGCTTATAAAGCCATTCTGTCCACTTTGTGAAGCCAGACTCGAAGCAGCCATCCTCCTTGTACCAGACAAGGAAGTCCCTCAGACAGTCCACGATGTCTTTGTAGTTGCCTTCAGGGCCTAGGGGGTATTCCGGCGCGATAATGATAGCTTTCTTGGCTTTGGCCCTACTGACAGCCGTTTGAGAATACCAAGCGGGGAAGTCGCCAGCTCCTGTACACTTTCACTTTATCAGCAGATGTCTGCATGTGCTTTGTTCATAGCGATACGTACATAGCCACCACCATGGAAGAACCACATAACCGGAGCTTTATGTCCGACTGGCAAATCCTTGGGGACAAGAATTTTTACCGGCATCATTTCCTTATCCCAACTATCGGAGAAGGTGTAATGAGTCTGGTATTTGTAGAAGCCCATTTTCTTAAACCAATTTTCCTCACGGTCGAATGTAGCAAAGATTCCCTTGCCAGGTGTAAAGATATGGTCATCAGTCATCTCTAGGTTTGGCCAAGTATAGAGCTTCGTCAATTCTTTCTGAACTAACCCCTTATATCGGGTAGCGTCTTCCTGTGCATATTCTATGAGTTTTGCAGCTTTCGGGAATTCGTTGCGCCAGTTCCACTTGTGAGGTCTTGTGTCAGTCCCGAATATTTTCGTAAGTTCCTTCTCACGATGTTCGTTACGCTTCTGAAGGTCTTTAAGCTCTTTCTTCTCGTCCGAGGTCCATGACGGCGTCCAAGACATAGTATATGTGGAATAAGCTGTCGTTGAAGATCTGATTCGATAGTTTCCCACCGAAATAGGAGGTTATGTAGCGTTGAATAGTTCTCAGTACGTTCACAGTGTTGTGTTAGATAGTGAGCTTAGGGCAAACGCAAGTTCTACTTTTATACTCCCAATTGACTCACTTATCCCGCCAGTCACTTCCAGGATTTGCTTTCAACGTGAGGTGTCAACAGTCATGTTTCACTTCAGCCTCGAGATGCGAGGTCATAGTGATATGCCATGTCCGCAGGCTGCCTATCTGTGGCTGGTACTATGTGACTCCGCACAACGGGAAACCGTGTACCATGACTCTATCCCCTTGGGTACCGTCATCATGGTTTCTCGTGTGTTATATCGTGTACGATGTGTCGTGTTTGACATGTCACTTCCCGTGCTTCCCGACATCTTGGTATGTGCTCGCGGCATGCGATGATGCGGTGGTCGCAGTTGAAAATGCTCCGACATCGCTTCCAAGGCTTTGTTTCTTTGTTGCTCGTTACGAGTAACAAGGCGTTGTCATCTAAATCTCCGAACAGGGCTCGAGCTTAAGCCAGTGCCTCTGGGGTTGAGTTGATGCGGCCTCTTGGGATGATGACAGATGCAGCGTGGCAGAAACTCTTCTGAGAGATTCGCAATAAAGAAGCCACCCATGGTCTGGCCTGTCAACTCTCACCGCTTGACCGCTCTGCATCTCTCATTTGAAGATCATCTTCCCTTCTCTTCGGTACCTGCCATACCTGAGGTGCTATGCATCGCATACTGTTGACGTGCAGAAGATACGTAGTACATGTATCCAGTCAGCTGTCGAGTTGGGAGAGTGTAGTGGTTGTGGTAAGACGTGGCTTGAGGTGAGAAGACGTGAGGCCATTCTTTCCGCACTAGCCGCTGTGAGACGGGTGGACGTGGCCAATGCTGTAGCTATCCACATGTGGAGACCCCGCATTCCTTTGAAACAAGCGGGAAACGCCCATACTTGGCGCTTAGAAATGCTTCGAAGCGAGAGGAAAGCTACGTCACTAGATGATGAGCATCGGTGGATGGTACATCTTACTCCATCTTGCCCACGGATAACCGGAACCCAAATCCGGAGGTATCACTGTTAGATGGATGTGTTATTTGGGTTTCAGTACATAGTGCTGTAGCATTAGTAAATTGAAGCTATCAGACATCAAAGCATCCAAGATAAGTAGGTAACTCGAAACGGGGTATTCATTAATCACTCAACGAGCGTCGTGCACTATTTGCACTCGATAAACCCACTACTTAGTTCTAGGTTCCGTAAATAGGAATCATCACCCTCTCTCCTGGTATCATAATCCGCTTATACAGTAGGAACCGCACCAGCACCGTAACCCTTTTCGATGATTGGGGGTGGCTTGGGCACGTTCCGGCGAAGCATCGTGTGGTTGATAAAGTAGGGGACCGACTCCGTAATCTCGTAATGAAGGAACGTCTTGGTCGGCACGCTGAACACCTGGTCTAGTTCTTCCAGCGTAAGCTGCTTGGTTTCGCGGACGAAACAGAAGATCATGACCCAGGCGATCAGGTTGAGACCAGCGTAGAATCCAAAAGCACCAGTCTGCGACATGACTGAAACCATGCGAGGGAACGTGAGCGATAGGACACCAGCGAAGGTGTTGTTGATGCAGACGGCCCAGGCCATTCCCTGCTCACGCTGAATGGTAGGGAAGACCTCGGCGGAGTACTGGAACGCAACTGGCCCTTCTCCCAAGGAGTACGCGATAGTGAAGAGGTAGATGAATAATACAACTGGCCCAACGCGAGCAGCTTGACTAGCAGTTTCTGGTTGGAGCAGGGTCAAACCAGCGGCCAACAGGAAGATGCACATGACGGGGAAAGTCTATCATGTAGTTAGTACAAGAAACTTGTTGAGATAGGTCGGGGAAAACTTGCCCACATGCAAAGGGTCCTTCGACCCTTGGTGTCGATGAGAAACAGAGTGGGAATCGTGAAAACTACTTGGACAGCTCCGTAACCGAGCGAAGCGTACAAAGCCTGGTCAGAGGTGTAGCCGGCTTGGGTAAAGATAGTCGAACTGTAGAACGAGATAATGTTGATTCCGCACATCTGCTGGGCAATCATGACAGTGGAAGCAGCGTAGTTTGCACGCCTGATTCTGGGCACACGGAAGCAGTCCCACATGCGGTCGAAGTAGCCAGCTCCACGTGCAACAGCCAGCTCGGTCTCGTAAATGACGTATGAGTAGTAGTAGTCGCGAGCGGCAATGATGGGGTGTGCACGGAGTTTATCCATGGATTGGAAACCCTTGGCGACCTTGCCATGCTTCATCAACCAACGAGGGGATTCTGGGCAGAAGAAGATGCCGACCATGAGGATGAAAGACGGAATGAAGGCTGAACCAAGCTGCAGACGCCACGAAATCCTGCCAGTATCTTTGACAATGACATTGGCGCAGAAACCGAGGAAGATACCTGGGGATGAAGGTTAGTCACAAGTTGACAGATTCAAGAATGGCGAAAACTTACCAATGACGACCCAAAGTTGCCAGAACATGACCAGGGCACCCCGAACACGGTGAGGAGCCATCTCAGCAGAATAAATTGGGACAGTCGCATTCTTTGCGCCAATTCCAATACCCATGATGAAGCGTGCAGCAAATAGTCCTTCCCATGACTGCGCGCACGCGGAACCAATGGGAGTAGCAGTAAGGCAGACAGCAGTGAGAAAAATCTCTCCACGACGACCAAGGTACTTGTTGAGAGGGTCGACGATGAAGGCGCCGATGAGACCAGCAGTCAGGAAAATGATGGAGTTGATGAGACCAACAATCCATTCACTCCTGTCACCCTCAGTAAGACCGAATTCTTGAGGGAAGGACAGGTTGGCACCGTTGGATCCAGTCTGATCCCAACCCTGAGTGGCGGCTCCGATGGCACACAGGCCAATCGAGTACCACAGCATCTTGGGGCCGTGCCACTTGTGGTCGCGCTCGTAGATGAGGGCATCGCGCTCGTCTTGAGTGAGGTCGGTGAGCATCTCGAAGCGGTCAGGGTCACGCGCAATGAGAGCAGCTTTTCCGAAGAGAGCAGAGTGCTCCTCCATGCCATGTGTGACAGCCCATCGCTCAGCGGAGCTGACACATTCGGCCTTGGTCTGACGCGTCAGAGGGTTCTCAACGATGTTGTGCGCGACGGATTCGCGACGGGCGCCAGCATCAGCGATGTGCTCGGTGGCAGGCTCGTACTTTTCGTTGATCTGCTTCTCAGTGGCTGGGTCGTAAACAGCTTCCTTCTCGGCAGGGTATGCCACTTCCTTGTCGGGAATGTGGCTCACGCCGTTGTCTTTGCCGTCCATGTTGGAGGTTGATTTGCGCAGGCTCCAAAGGTGAGTAAAACCAGTCGCGAAGAAGCGCGGAAAGCAGTGGAGGTGGAAAAGAAATGGCGGGGGAGATGAGCAGGCGATCTTATACCTGGAGGAGCTCTCAGTGAAGGGGAGGCCTAAAAGTGGAGCCTCAACGGCGCACGACAGCTGTAAGAGGCTGCAACAGGCACCCTGGATTGATCCAAATACATTTCTACTGGCACGACCGTCGCGACGGTGAAGGACCCCGGGATCCTGGTTTGTGTCCGCCAACAAGACGCAGTGTTGCGGGAGGGGTACTATGGCGCTAGGTCTATCGTTCATGAGGATCCCCACCACATCTCCCCATGGAGTAAGCCTCCACAAGATTCATGCGGCTATCTTAGCCACGCTTAAGCCCTGCTACTTGGCCTTCACCCCAAAGCTTCGCGCATGCCGACGTCTATGACCTCACCCTCCGCATTCTCGACCACGCCTGATTGCCCGTCTGGCGGCTAGTTCAAGCCACCACGTTACATTGCTCGGCTGACTTCCGAGCAACCGTCATGCTCAAGTCCTTTGTCGCTATGCAGTTGGATTGCAAAGGGCGCCGTAAGCTCACCCTTACAGCGTTTCCGGTGATATCTTGCGTCGGACGCTGCACGAGGCGGAATCCTGGTCACGGTAGCGCCCCATACTCGTCGTGTACCCGTGATCAGTACAAAGCTTCACATGCTGCATGTGCTTGGTGCAATCTTGGTGTGCGGCTTGCCAGGCTGACGCTGCCCAGCTCCGATCGGCGTTAGAGTTGCCTTGCCGGTCAGCCGTCTGCAGTCCCGGCACATGCTGGCGCGACCACCGAGGCAGGGAGCAAGGCGCCATCATAATGCCGCCAAAGGTCCTTTACCGTCGTTTCAACCTCACGGATATCAGGCCATCCAGACTTTGCTAAGAGTTACGACTCCAACTCATGAGGAGAGGCTTACGACATGTTTAGCATTCTTCGAATGGATCACGAACTCGATCGCATTCCCATCCAGTCAGCGAAGGACGTCCGCGGCAAGCCTTGACGAGGCCAACGAACTCGATAGCGTACGCGCGGCGACGTTTTGGGCACCTTGACTTTACTTGTCCCAACAACCCAAGCCCTCGTCAAAGCTTGGAACGAACTTGAGCCCGGTCCAACTGTCAGAATTGTGGGCTCAAGTCTCATTCGCAGCGACCCGTTTTGGTGGAGACATCTCCAAAATTTTCTCCAGGTCAAACTCCAGGAATACAGTGGGCTGCGAGTCATGGACAGCGGAGAGAAACAGCTCACGTGCTTGTCACGCAACATCGCAACTCGTATCGAAATCCGCACGCGCAAACCAATAGGAGACGGAATGCGCGGCCGATAAGCATTTCGATCCTTTACAGGCAACATATCGGTGAAAAATGATCGCGTGCGATGTGAGCGACTGTGGGCCGCGACACACGGCACGCTGCCGCATATCGAGAACTCATTTTGCAGTCCTTTGGCTAGCGTATAGCATCGCACATATTGTTGTATCGCTAGTCTGTCCAGCGCCTGCCAGATTTCCGCGGACAACACAAGCGCGATATGTGCATGGTGTCTCGAACACATGAGGCTCATTTGGAGTGGGCCCCCGGGACGATTTCAGCGCCAGCGCTAGACATCGTGCGATACCCCACAACATGGAGCCGTAGACTACGACAACCTCCGGGATACCTAGAATGGAACACTAATCACCTGCGCGATAGTAATCGCAGCCGGCAGCATTGTCGAACTTTATCCCGACCGCCTAGCTCTCCGATATACCTCTGACCTGTAGAGTCCGAGAGGACTGTTTCCGATATCTAGGTCGTTCCCGCTAGCCACCGTGTCACGCTATCGATCTCGGACATGCCGAAAACGCACCAGATACAATTTTCTTGAATTTTCGCCTGGAAGCAATATCTCCCATATGTCCAAAGACATAATTATGTATCCTGACAATGGCGGGTAATGCCAGGCAAGTCGTGTGTGTACGGCTCCTGAGTCAGAACTCATTCGGCAAGCTGTACTCAACACAGTGAGACACAAACTCAGGTATGCGCTAGAGTGCCAACTGCAAAACTTCGCTATGATACTGCGACCTTTAAAAACTAGTGAATATTCAACGCAAACTTTCCAGATCAAACCTGCGGCAGCAATTGTCGCGATGAGAACCCATCGGTGCGCCTCAGGCACGCCAATCAATATCACTGTTGGGGGCATGCGCATCATGATAATGCTGGGTTGCAACATATCATCTTCGGTGGTGAATTAGAGGAGAAGAAACTAAGGCGAAGCTGTCTTTAGTGTGTTGTAAAATTCGTCTCCCTTCACCTCGGCCTTGCAATGGATAGTATCTGCCAACATGATTACTGTTGGCGTCGATGATGTCTGCAGAAAGACTAGGAGATGCTGAGGAGGTCATTATCGCAGCTATGGAAGACCGATGTATCGTAACACAGGACAGAGCGATTGTGCAACGGCTCCTAAATGGGTAGATGGTGGGGCAAAAGCGCCCCAAATGACAGTGCTAACAACACTTGACAGACTTCTGAAATGGCGAGTGGAGTGAGACTAATGGTTGGTTGTTTACTGAAGATTGCTCAAGGTAGGGAAACCGTATGTTCACCAGTCGATGTCAAGGATCATGCCAGAGAAAGAGCCTTCTAATGTATCCAGCAATTCCTTCCACCTATTACTAGCATGGTACCTATATCATCGGTACCTTCCATTGATAAAATTAGATGGATTGATTGCGACTTATTGGCTCTTTCGCAAAGTAAGGTATCGATAACCATAGTTCATGGCAGGCAACCATGGTTCTGAACCATGGTATTCGAGTCTTTGAAGATATCTGTTATCAGTACCTTCATAGAACGTCATTCAATTCATCACTCTGGCATTTTGACAAAGTTAACGGCATTACTATGACAGCGAGAAAGGAGGGGTTTCATCGCCAGTGAAGGGCAGACTGAGAGTCATTTGACCTCGTGCCAGGTCGAACTTCACTCAACTCTTTCTCCACACTCTCCGCACCCAGACCGTAGTCTTAGCGTAAAGCTTGAAATACCCAAACGCCTGTACAACGCGGAAATCAAAGACTACAAACTCTACTTCATGATCAGACTACCTACAAGCGGCCAACAGAAGGACCAGAAACCAATGGATAACGCGCTCAACAGTCGACGCGACATGTCTCGCCCTAATTCAAGATCCTACACTCCAAGATCGCAAGGCCGCAATGGCTTCGGTGCCAGTAATTTGTAATTCGAGGGCGGTCGAGACTCGCCATTTTCCGATGCGGTCAGCTATGGACTAGGTCATCTTAAGTATTCTGGCAACTGACTTATAGTAGTCCACACACAACTTCAATATCAACCATAGCTCTATCGGTAACCCGAACGAGATCCGAACGTTTGTCAATTATCATTCTGCCGCACCTGGTCACCCTAGTTTCTCCACAACGAGTCCGCATGTACTAGGATCAAACGCGCCAAATGTAGGTGTTGGAGTCAGCAACTCGATATGATGCCCACTAACGAATGAACAGGAAGCCAAGTATGTATCGATGGCGTCTGAGTCGCAGCTCGATGGCTTGCCTCGCCCTTCCGCCGCTGATCAAAGTGCTCAAAGGTCGTTTCAGGCTAACAACATACCATTCCCGGAAATCTCAACTTCATCAGACTTTCAGATGTTCAGTCCCGACACGCCTGTCCCCATGGTCTCTTCCCCACATGTTCGGAATCTGGAGGACTCTAAGCAAGCTCTCTCAACTAGCCTGTCTAGCCAGGCCAAAATCGCATCACCTCAGGTCCACTTTGGCCATCCACGGCAGCCTAGTCGCTTACCATCAACATTCACGCAACCATGGCCGCATGGGCCACCGCCATCTCATCCGCCATACACATCATCATCTTTTGATCAACCCAGCTTACCCAACGGCGCTGCCGTCACAGCTTACCTAGGCGAAGCAGTCTGGCGGCCCTCAATGGGCATGTACGGTGTACCTACCACCGAGGAAAAGAAAGGCTACTACGTTCGCAAGATCTGTCTCAGTTTAGTCAATCTCTACAACCTATGGGACGACCCCAAAGATGTCTTAACCTTCGCTGTCAAGTTCGCAGACACGGGTATATGGTCTGACGCAAAAGACATCGAGACGATAGCCCATATTGTTGTCAACAACGCTATGCGTATACACAAGTTTGGCGTCACTGGTGTAGCGTTTCGTCGATCGCCGGAGTTTGAGAGCCTGAACGTGGAAGACATGTATTTCACGTTCCCACAGCGTATCCATTATCTTGCACGTCTCCTCTATCACTCGAAGGTCGCAGCCGACAACGTCATGTCAGGTAGGGATGTAGCCAAATACGTTGCTTTGCCAATCACCTCTCTTCGCCGCCTACCCTTTTTCGAAGAGGAGTGGTCGCGCATGTCACAAGTCGATCGGGCGGTACAAACAGAGATTGTACCGTATCCAGATGGGTTGAAACATCCTTCTCCAACTGAGCGAGAGCAACTATCAGCGCAAGTAGCTACTCTGCCATCGCTGGTAAATGACTATATGGTGACGGACGGCCATTTGGCTACCTTTCGTCAGAAGCATCTTTCGCCGAATGAGCTGGCTTATGCAGCGTTGAGATCATTCCAGCAATTGTCTCACAAACGCCCGATGGACCGAGATCAAGGATCTGAAGTGGAACCGGCTGCTAAACGCTTTCGTACCAGCGGACATATTCCTTTCGACAGCAAGTTCGGGAATTCAGGAGATGAAGAGAACGATTGAGTGATCATCGCGGTAATTTTGGCTAGTAGACTAGGGTCATTTGGAAGATTAAAGCCAGCAAAGAATAGGCAATGCCGTGACAAGGCGACCGGCTTGCGGCTGACTAGACCCTTGTAAGTAGATGGATGCTACTAAAGGCATTAGCCTACTCCGGTCCGCTTCTCTAATGACATGTTCACTTCGTAAAAGCAAAACGTATAGGGCCGAAGCTTACTCTCTAGCATGGCACGCACATGTTAACAGCAATGATCGTCGTGATAGTCAGCCTTGGGCATTAGACATAGCTCTCCCTCTAGAATAGTCCAGAATATGTCTAGAACCCTGCTGCATGCATTACCATCACCACGTAATACCCCATGAAGCTACCCCAAAGTGCGGGGTCATCGGCAGTCCCGGAACCTTAATCACCCTAGTTGTTCTCCACACTCTTAGTGGTTTGTCCCCTACCCTCCAACTCAATCTCTTCAAGGCGTGGCAGTATCATCTTCATTACCAGAATGTTGTTCAGCTTCTTTCGCGTCTTCTCACCGAAAACCTGGAAGATGGATTTAGCGCGACTGTCGAACTCGTGGGCGCTGATTTCGTTGTAATGGAGTCGTTCCATGAGGTATACGTATTCATCCCAGTTATCCGGACCTGGGTGGTGTGGCTGTCAGCGAATATGATCGAGTGTGCTCGGACACATTGATTCAGCGTAGAGTATACTTACCTAGTGCGGTCTTCGTGCCTACCAACTCCGTGGGTACTTGGTAGGTGTGTCGCGGACGCAATCTTCCAGGTTTCGGTGGCGCTGGTGGAGGTAATACCTGTGGAGGCGCGAAGAACCCTACGGGGGGTTGAGCAGCAGCCTGGTTGTCATCATTGAGTTGCAGAAGTCCACGCCTAGAGACTCCAGATGACGTTTCGAAAGATTGCTGTTGGCGCACCCGGGCTCGTGTTATGTGCTCCGGAGTCTCTATCGGCCCACTGACTGTCCTTTCCGGTCTTCCTTTTGGAGTCTTCCGGGCTGTGGTGGGAGAGAGCTGATCTGAAGAGCGAGCTGCAAGCGGTGCCTTCCTCGGAATGTTGTTTGAGGGAATACGACTACCTTTCCAACCCGGCGGAACCGAGCCATCAGGTGATGCGCTCGCAGTGCCAGGCTTAGTGAGAGAGTCATGGCGCTGTTCGACCGGATTTATAGTATTGTAGCCTTGCGCTGGAGTCGAGGGCTGGCGCTGTTCGACGGGGTTCGTAGGATCGTGGACATACGCTGGGTTGTCCGGCTGTTTAAAATACTATCAAGACGTTAGCACTAACCGTACTGTAGAAGAAAACACAGAGCGCGATGCATCTAGACTTTGCCTGCTATTAGACAGAAGAATTCTGATACGGAGAACTTTGTTGCTGATTTTCCCCTTTACGGTGCTAAAGCGTAGCGGTAATGACTTACTGTAAAAGAGTTAGCCAAGGTTTTCACAGCGTTTGGTATTCCTGGTAGCTGACTTACCTATCTTTTGTCCACCTTTTTTGTACGAGTGCCCATCGTGCTCCATAACGAGTGAGTGTAGATGTTGATTCGGTGCTTGGTGGGTGTACAAGTTTGGATATGGATTTGGGAATGTAAGATGTGGATAGTTTGGCCAGTGAGGTGGATCGTGGGGGAATTGAAACTGGCTGTAGGGAACCACGGTGGGTGAGTAGACCTGGTCATTCGGTGGATTGGATATGAATGTGCCTGCAATCTTAGGTGAGATCATTGTTGAGGTAGGTCCGGCGAATGGGTGCGGTTGCGACGCCATTATCGCGCTTGGTAGTGGGTGCTGTTTCGGATCTTTGGTACGCTCTTGCGACATTACTGGGCGCAGGAATGTGAGAGTGGTCGAGCTCTACCAGAAAGAGCGTCAATGGTAAGAGCGATGTTGATAATGACGTATGGCAACGTTATCATTGCACTTACCGCCAGACGCCTTCCAATTTTATGCTGCTTAGATGTGCACAAAGAGAGAGAAAGGAAGGGTACGAAGAGGTAGACATGGCAATAATAGAAGTGAGTGGTGCCTGCTGTACTGGAAACCAGCACTCAACCCTGAATGAAGGCGCCTTCCTTCTTCAACTTGGCTTGTTATGTCGTCAGCTTGGTAGTTCCGAAACCCTGAAGCTGTATATGTTGATGCAGATAAGGGCTGAGAGCATTCACCAGGGGTACCGCCCTTTAACGTGCTCAACATGTTCAGTTAAGAGTGCTCCATGGTTGAATCAGTAAAAAAAAAGTCGCAATCTTCTTTGTAGTAGAGTATCTACTAGGTGCGCAAATTGAGGGCTATCTTGACAAAGGTCTGGATGAAGTCACCCACTCCGGCTCTTCCCGGCAAGTCCCAGATCAAAATCAAACGGCTCACCCTTCCATGCTTCCTCCACGCCACCATGCATACGTTCGTGTGAGGGCACACGACTAATGGGATCGTGTTGCACGACGACCTCTTTTGTGCACCAAATCTCTCCCCTGCCAGAACTCGTCTCTTGGGTACTGTTCCGCCACTGCATCTCATCCTCCGAAGCCTCAGTACCCAAGTCCTTCATCTTGAAGCTCAACTCGACATCTCCCTCAATAGTAGCAAGACGACTCTGACTCTGACTGCGAACATACCGTTTGTCCAATCCGTCAGATTCGTAGGTGCGCCCATAGCCGCGGGTAAGTGTATGCTGTCTGATACGTACGCTAATCACGCCGCAGTATTGAAGTGCGCGTTGAAACGGCGAGCGGAGACAAGGTACACAGATCACAATAAAACCTACGAGCTCTTCGATGACGGACCACATGCCGATGGTGATGCTTTCGTTCAGCTGGTCTCCAGTCTTACCAAAATCCATGGCAGCGACGATCTTTAGGATGGATGCTATGCCCGCGAAGAAACCGAGGCCCATTAGCGCGCCTACGATCACGCGTTCGCGGAGGGGACGCTGGATTCGGCGAAGGAAGGATATGGGGAGGAGGGCGAGCATGAAGTCGGTGAGGATGTGTATGACGGATACTGTTATCGAGCTTATCCTGACTGCTTTGCTGCTCCAGCAGCGTCCCGGTACTGTGCCAAGTAGGTCCCATGCTTTTCGGACTGGGACGCATTGAAGCAGAGTTGCCAGTGTGTTGTACACTCCGAGTGTGATTTGGAGAACAATCATACCCCAGAGGAAACGGCGAAGGGGTTTCGAGGGCGAGATGCGGAGAAGCATTAGAGCAAACGACACTTTGACGAATACCATAGACCATGCCCAGATCGGTTGTGCGATAGACGCTTTGTGGAATGCTTCTTGCGAGTCGAATAGGAAAAACGTGTCCGGTCGGTGCGTGAAGGTATAAGGCATGGCTGCAAGCAAAAGACTTGTATTGATCACTATCAATACCTGTTTCCAATTTGTTAGTCTTCAATATCGTCAGTGGGGTACAGTGCAGTCGCTACTCACGTATGCCATAGCACAAGCGTAGTCGTCCAACTGCATCCGATACACAGGCCGCCATCGCGACCACATGCGTGCTCCAAAAACAACGAGAGCAATTCCATGCAGAGCTAGCGTGGCTCCAGCGAATGTTCTGCCAGTCTTCTGAGCTGCTTCTGAAGGGAACGCAGGAATCAAGTGAAGATCTGGTGGCGGTGGTGCCATGATCTCGTCGCTCGCATACCGTGTTGTGAATGATGGTTTTCCGGTGTCATTTTAGCTAGACCATCGATTGAGCGAGACGGTAGAATATATCAAGCTTTGACAAGCATTCCCCATGGGGATGTGGGGCGCATGTTGGCAATAACGCTCGAGTGATGAGCTGGCCGATGCCGGTCGTAGCTTGTGGTATTTTACAGGGCCATGTTGTTGCATGTTGGGTCCAGAGCTAGGATTCAGGAGCTCAATATGATACCTCAAACATGGATAACTCGTATGTTTGTACCAATGGTTACGTTGTATGAATCTGGCTGTAAGCGACCGGAAATGTTGCTTTACTATGCAGGCTGAACGCGTTCATTCTTCCGGTGCAGGGGTGCTTCTTGGATTTGTCGATCTCGTTGTAAGTTGGTTGAGATAGAGGTAGTAACTGACGTGGTGGACTGCAGCATCATGATTGATGTCTCAATTAGTAGGTCCAGCGATAGAGTCATCACCCAGAATGAAATCTTTTTCGCATGTTTCTAGCGACGCCTCGAGCCCTCCTCTTGTCGAAGCACGAACGTATCCCCATGTCGTCGCCCTTCCGGTAGATCATCTGCACTGCATTAGGCTAAAGGCGGGATGGCGGACGCCGTATAGATACTCGGGACGGTTATTACATGCATAACGCAGGCTGAATGCATTCTAAGCATCTCTGCAAAGGGCTGATAGTATTGAGATGATGGAGGTGTTGATGGGTGTTAGCAATGTTTCTGGTGTAGCCGAGTCTTGCTAGCTTGGACCCTGATGATCGATGACGGCAGACGGTGCCGAGGCGGGTTTCCCGTTCCTGTCATCGACCTACTGTTAGCAACTACACCTCATTGACTCTCAAAACGCGCCAGAACGCGTCGAAAAACGTCTCAAGCATGACTTCGCCTGTTGATTTCGATGGGAAAGCATCAATGTACTCATCTCGGTTCGCGTTTCTCCGTGATCCTGCCGGCGATTGCCTGTCAAGGCGCGCTTGGCCGTTACTGCCGTTCCAACTTCCGTCCTTATAGCAAATTACCCAGCCCTACTTCTCTTGCCAGCCACCGAGCTACGAACACTGTGCCATTTCATGATACTATATGTCACCATGGAATCTCCAATCGACCAAAAAGCTTCGCCGAACCAAGCTACAGAATGCAGCCAATCACCACGCCTTCCATGGGATGTCCTCATCGAAATAGCCCACCATTGTCGTCTCGACGAGCTGCGTGTTTTGACCATGGTCAGTACACAGATGCGCGATTTGATTGATCGCTATATCCCCACGATTGCGTCAGCGGTAGCACATGTCACGTTCAGTAAACGAGTCCTCCAGCACATGTACGATCGAT